CAAAATACATCCTCCCCCTGCCCTTTCTTTCCATCCCAACCCTGTCACTTCAGGTTTTTACTAGAGTTCAATGCCTGCTATTACAGAATTCATTTTTTTTCTCGCTAAAGGATATGCTACTATTACTAATACTACTACTAGACAATCTTATAGCCTAATATCAACAACGGTCACTTTAACATCAGTTATGGCAATTTTTGTGGATATTTCGCTTCCGGATTCTTCATCGAATTTATGAATAACAAGCATCATATATACTACAGCAAGCAAACCCGATGAGTAGAGCACAACCATCAAAACAGCTATCAGTCTGAAATATGGCGCTAAGGTGTCAATCAGGCACTTCAAATATTTGTTTTATGTGAAAAATTCACGAGGTGCTGAAGTAATGATCTGTAGCACCCCTCTCATATTCTAATCCAGAAACACTGTCCGTAAACCAAAGCTCGAGATGGACCATACATTCGCTTCAAGCAATACTAATTTAGCACTGGCATGCTGCGTAGTTTACACAGAAATGCCCATCTTCAGTGGAAACGAGTCTCAAAAGAGGAAATCATCGACAGGTCTCACCAATATGTAACATCTTCCAGCTGGTCATAACACTCTGACTCACGTCTCTGCCTCATTCGCTGCTGAGCAAATTATGAAAAACTTTCTACTGACCAGTTAGGATGAGTTTTGATTTGCTGTTAATTTGATAAATTTTCAGAAAATAACTTGCCCTGTCATAACGTAAAATAGGATAGTATGGTGCTGAGCATAAATGAGAAAGACGAGCGAATAAGCGACCAGAAGAACAATAACAATGGCGAAATGGAGCTTTGTCAGTGGACAAAAACTCCAAGTTTGACGTGATCTCAGATCCGTCGCTGTTGAGCCGTCGTACATATGGTATACGAATTAAAAGCATATATATTTCTTGCCGCTAAGTATAAACAGTTGCAAGCTGTAACTGGCCTTTCTTTTAAAATCAAACATACTGAAGAATTCCAGATATCACACACCTTGCCAACATGTAACATCGTTTTGTCCGTGCCGTTTGAGCTTATCGAAATGACCAAACAGGAAGCAAAAAGACGACGGAAGGAGAGAAGGTTTAAAAACAGGAATTTCTAAAAAGTATCACGGAAAATCTATTCTTAGATCAACAGCTGTATAATAAAATTTATTTGGATAACGTATTTCTCTGTGACTATATAAACCAGTCTGACTTTCCGCCAGATGTGTAGCGTACTAGATGTTACCCTGACCACTCGAGAAAGTAAAGTGCTATAGGTAAGGTATATTTCTCGCCTTGAGGACAAATGGTGGACATTGTGTATTACTGAGCGATACCCGCGAGAAAGTAAACGATTGTTCGGGTGGCCCCAAGAGGTGACGGACATTCATCGAACAGGCGATGGATTCTAACTAAAGATACGTAGCCCATGATCGAAGGGCCCTGCATAGCTGCGTCAATGTGTGGGAGTATTTCAGTAAAATCATTAACAAAGTGAGACTTCGAAGTGCCATGGTTAGGTCAAATTAGAAGGCCGAGGAGAGGAGTGTTTCAAAAAATTAAAAAAAAATCAAGCAGTAACCCGCTCCACTCTTCAGTTTGATTCCTATCAGTTTATGAATTCATATGCAGAGAGGCTCAATAAGTCAACCAATAATTACATTGCCAGCAAAAAAAATGGTAAGAAATGGGCAAGGAATGTGGGGATACTGGAAGCAAGAAACAGGAAGTTTGTTAGAATAAATCTCGAGATACAGTGTACAGACAACCCTGAGATATAGTGTAATAGGGATCTCATCGTCACTTCAGTGAATCAGAAGTGCTCAAACCGGAAAGAAAACAAGAACTGGAGGAAGCAAAATGCTGAGGCATTATCGGTTGATTTTCATGATTATAGTCAGCCTATAATGGGTCAGCATTGTCTACTCGCATTGTGTCAGACGCTATAAAGCTGCTGGTAAGCTTGCACGCAGTAATGAGCGAGCCATTGTAACACATCAGTTCTGTAAATTTGCCATTAATGCACTCTTTAGGCGGAAGCAAAACTATGCAAATTTGCAGAAGTGTGTATTTCTTCGAAGACTGCGAGTCTATTTTGAGGGCAATTGCCAAAAGTCGGCTCGGCCGCTCCTGATAGATGCTCTTGTCTCGTTTGCTAATGCTATTTCGGGGCGTCGCTTGCTAGAACTACTTGGCATGACGTAACTGAGCGTAGGGTAGTGTTACCCCAGCGCTAGTGGCTGGGTTACGTGCTTTAGGACGGTTGGTGGTAGGTGAGAGGGGACAGAGAGGTGATGTGATGGCCTGAACCGTGGATACTTGGAATCGAGAAGGGACTAAAATACTGGTTGATTGAGGGTGCAATTATACGGAGATGAAGACGAGCCCCGATGCAGCTCTGGAGAGACAACTTGGTGACAGGATAGAGAAGAGGAACAAGAGTACTAATCGGGCGCTCGAGGCAAAAACTGAAGACAGCAATAAAGAGAAAGAGACAACACAGCACCGCAAAAAAAGTAAGTTAAAGCAAATCTAAGCCCTATGAGTAAAAACAAAAACAAAACAAAGTCTAAAGAACCTGAAGCTATGAATAAAAGCAAACGAAAACTTAGCCTATGCGTGTGGAAATTGTCCTATAAAAACCAGTCGTCAGTACGGGGATTTCTCTATTTATGAAGCTGATGCTTAGGTGAAGCTGAAAGCGAATAAGTTCGATTGGATTTACAAAAAAATCTATACAATAATTCCAATATGCTGCCTTCGGCAGTCTGCGACTGTGTGCAACACTTACAGCTCTGTTTTTCTACCTCGAAAATTTCACACAAGCAAAGGCTGATCCCGTCTCCATGCATCCGGTCTATCATTCCTTTTGCTCAGTCCACATCCTACAGTCGAAGTTCTCCTTTGTCAGCCTCATCTAAGCATCAGCTTCGTAAATAGGGAAGCCCCCTTGTAAAATAATTTTCATCCGCACAGACTCAGTTGTTCTACTTTTGCTTTTTTAGACTTGCTCTTGCTTCTTATGAGTTTTTTGCAGCTATGCAATGTAGATAATTGGCCAACGCACAGGCTGCCAGTACGAAGATGCGTTTTTTGAATAGTTTCCCGCAGCTTTGTCGCTACTGGCACCGATTTTTTCGGCAAATGCTTCTAGCTAAACAAATTAAGACTAGCCGCCAGAAATGTCAGAAAACACCCCCTTAAAATTTTAGCTTTCTAGCTTTCCTGGCTCCTGAGTTAGCAACTTACTCGAAAA